AGTGTGGGCATCCACCACCCATGAATCCAATAGCAGGCAATTAAAAATTATTCCACAGAACATCCTAGATAAAATCAGGGAAAAAAGAAAAACGAAAGCAAAATGGCAAAAACAGAGAATACGAGAAAACAAGAAAACCTAAATAAACTTACAAAGGATTTAAAGAATAAAATAATAACATCATAATAACGAATTCTCAAAATTCATCGAATCACTATCCGCGCATGAGAATACCAACTACACACTATGGAAAGTCACTAACAAAGTTAAGAAAACAATAAAATCAATCCCAGCAATCAGAAAAATGGGCAACACATGGGTCAGAAGCAACGAAGAGCAGGCAGAAGAATTTTCGAAGCACCTACAAAATATATTTTCACCGTACGAAATTAATAACAGCATCCCCAGATGGCAAACAAATGAAGAAGTGGAAAATACCAACAACGCAACTGATAAACGCTGCACTATACTCAGCACAACAGCGCAAGAAGTTACAAACATAATCAAGGCAACAAAGACAAGTAAAGCACCAGGATTTGACTTGATCAATGGAAAAATCTTAAAAAACCTTCCCCCAAAGTCAATAAGACCAACAACGATAATATTTAACGCAATTCTAAGAATACAGTACTTTCCTGCACTATGGAAAATAGCACAGATCGTAATGTTACCCAAACCAAACAAAACCCCACATCTAACTGCATCCTACAGGCCAATATCATTACTATCTGCGTTCTCCAAATTACTAGAAAAAATAATATATAACCACCTAAAACCAACAATAGAAAAGAAAAAGCTAATACTGGACCATCAATTTGGATTCAGGAATAAACACTCCACAATAGAACAAATGCACAGACTCGTCAATGAAATCTTACAGGCGCTGGAAACAAAACAATATTGCACGGCAATCTTTATGGACATTGAAAAAGCATTTGATAAAGTTAACCACGAAAAACTTCTTCAAACATTCAAAAAGCAATTTCCAGAACAAATCTACAAACTACTCAAATCTTACTTAAACAATAGAACCTTTGTAGTAAAAATAAATGATGCATATTCTGAAATTAAGGATATCAAGGCAGGAGTACCGCAAGGAAGCGTCCTAGGACCAATACTATACAAACTATATACGGCAGACATACCAACAACTGTCAACAGCAAAATACTAACGTTCGCGGACAATACGGCCATACTAGTGACACACGCAAATCCAGAAACGACTGCTGCACTACTACAAGAACACATTACAAAAATAGAATAGGGGCTGCAAAAGAAACAAATACAAGCGAACACCAGTAAGTGCAATCACATAACATTTACACTTAGAAAAGGAAAAACACCAGATATCCAACTGAACGGCGTCCGCATAGCACAAACAAAGCAAGTCTAGGCAATAGCAATATCTAGGCAATATTTAGCATTTAGATACACACCTTACATGGAAGCATCAAATAAAATTAATAATAAACAGAATACATGAAAAAAGGAAGCAGATGTACTGGTTAACCAATAGAAAATCTAAATTAAGTATAATGAATGAACTAAATATATACAAAACAATAATCAAACCAATCTGGACATACGGAGTCCCACTATGGGGGACGGCGGCAATGAGTCATATAAGTAAAATAGAAACAGAGCAAGCAAAAATTTTAAGGGCAATAGTTAACACTCTATGGCACGTCAGAAATGAAGATTTACGAAAAGATTTAAAAATTCCAAGATGGTCGCTGAAACGAATAAAACCATAATAGAAAGAAGACTGAAGAAGAAGTGTCCCGCAGACCTCACAATAGAAATAAAATAAACAACTTGGAAGATGGAACCCCGCTGGGGGTAACCATCCACATGTTATATTATTACCACTAAGCTATCATATTTTACCAAATGTCCCACTGGACAAATTGTAAAATTTAAATTAAATAAATAAAAAGAACCTTTTTCAAATCAGTCTGCTGTTGAATGCCGAAGAGCGCAGACGTGTGTTTAGTACCCTGTAAAGTTCACAATACAACACGTGACGCCCATCCGTCGAAAGTGAATCGAAACAGACATAAACCAAGTGTTTCTAAAATCCAACGCTCCTAATCTCTGACCCGAATCATAGCCTCTCGACTGGTTATTTCAAATTGAATTAACTAGCTCGAAGATGGCCTAAGTATCTCGATCAGGCTCTTTTGAGCAAAACTATAACTACACCACTCTACCTCCTCCGTGGCAAAAGAACAATATATCGCTCCTTTCAAACGACACTAACAAAATAAAAAAGCGTAAGCTAGAAACAGTTAAAATAAACGCAAACACTAGCCAGAACGAATCGTCAAAAAGCTGTGTAACCACTTACAATTGATTCGCAATATTAGAATCCACAAACGACTCTATGGACGTAGCTGCAACACTAACTACATACACAACATACACAAAAAAATCCCCCTCCCCACTTATCTTCATTGATGATGTCATCGACATTCAAACAATGATAAAGTTCATTGAGAAAGATATCAACAAAGAGGATTACAAACTAAAAATAAATAATAACCAAGCTAAAAATTCTGCCGACTAACCCAGACTCCTATAGAAAACTAATAAAGTTACTAAAAACCTTGAACGCAAACTTCCACACATATCAACTCAAACAAGAAAGACCTTTTCGTGTGGTACTGCACAACATCCACCACTCTGCTAACTTGGACGAAGTGAAGTTCGAATTCCTAAAACATGGCCATGAAGTAACAAACATTAGCAACATAAGGCATAGAATCTCGAAAAACCCGCTATCCTTATTCTTCATTGACTTAAAACAAAAGTCAAACAATAAATAAATTTACAACATCAACCGACTAATGAACTCAGCAGTAAAATTCGAACCTCCTTTTATAAAAAAAGAGATAGTGAAATGTAAAAGGTGTCAAAGGTACGGTCACACGCAGAAATATTGCAACCATAATTTCCGCTGTGTTAAATGTGCAGATATTCACCCTACTAATCAGTGTACTAAATCTCCAAAAAGCCCTGCGAAGTGCATCCTCTCTCACAGAGAGCATCCTGCGAACTATAAGGGTTGCTCAGCCTACAAGACCTTGTACAAATATAAGTATCCTAAACTCAGAGTCAAGGAGATAACTAACCAAGTCCTCAAAAATTCTCAACTCCTTCAATCTCCTATGCCCAGACAGTTCAAGGAAACCAAAACAATCCGAAAATCCATAGTGACCATTCTCAAAATAGTGTTCCCAGTTCGCAAAGCACAGATAACTTCTCTAGACTCGAAAAATTAATCGAGAAACAATCAGAACAAATTAATAACTTACTATCATTATTAACACTCATCATGGATAGCGGGAACGAGTGCACTCAGCGCGGCATGGGCGTTGGCTCTCCATCTACCCTGCCGATTTACCAACCTTAACAGAGATAACCATAGCGACATTTGCTGACGACACAGCACTATTAGCATCTCACGCAGACCCGATAATCGCATCATCCACTCTCCAGCGATGTCTCGACTCTATTGAAAAGTGGTTCCACAAATGGAGCTTCAAAATTAACGAAAATAGATCCACGCGTGTAACCTTCAGGCTGCGAAAACAAACCTGGCCTCAGGTGACCATTAACAATATAACAATTCCTAACAAGGATTCAGTCAGATATCTGGGCATGACTCTGGACAGGAGAATGACATGGAAACAACACATCATAGACAAATCGAAGCAACTCAAGGCTAAACTTAAAAAATTCTACTGGCTCATTGGCCGACGTTCCAACTTAATCACGCAGAGCAAAATTACGCTCTATAAGACCATAATAAAACTTGTCTGGACCTACGGAATGCAACTATGGGTAAAGGCAAGTAATTCCAACATTGAAATACTTCAACGGTTCCAATCGAAAACTCTAAAATCTATAATAGATGCACCCTGGTATGTTACCAACGAAGCAATACATCGCGATCTCAAGATACCCACGGTCAAAGTAAAAATAACAAAATGTAGTAATAGATATATCATAAGAGTTAGCAACCATCGAAACCCCCTAGTTACTAAATTACTTAATACGTCGGACCAGATTCGCAGGCTAAGAAAACTACATTTAGACCTAAGCACTAGATTCAGCTAGAAATAAACTTATTACAAATAATTAATTATGTCACTGCGCCACGCCAAAGAAGCTTACTCAAGATTTTCAATGCGAGAATTGATTTTAATGTATTTGTGAATAAAAAAAACCTGTTTCAAATTTAAATTGATAAAAAGAATTACATAAGTGTTCTGATTATACATATATACTATATTAAAGTCACAATGAAGTTTCATATATTTTTTATAAATATCCTTAATATTAAGGTATATGTGTGTTATAGTAAATTTTTTCTTCTTTAATATGGTTGATTCTTCATTAACGATAGGACAATATTTAACGAATAATATTGGCGCGTTAAATTCAATCTTCAAAGAATCGACGTTTCATATGTATCAGTTTAATACATATAGGATATCCTGTAACTGGTAAGATAATTAAAAGAACATAATAAATTAAGTGAAGAAACGCAGAATACAATTTTTTTCATACGAAGCTTTGTTTTTTAATTAACTTTAAATATTTGACTGATAATCTGATTTCTCTTAACACAAAAACGAAGGCATATAGTTTCACGAAATACTTTTCAATTTAATAGTTTGTAAATTTCTAATACACACACACACACACACACACACACATATATATATATATATATATATATGTCGGGTTTGCATTAGAATTAGAGTTAGGGGCGTGAAGCGAATCTTCGTTTGGGTTACACGTTGTCGTTATGCAAGACATTGACTAGTGCAAATATGATTATTATAGAGCCGGACAAGTAACCGTGGTAGTTAGGTATTCGAGAAACTAATGACAATGATCCTAGGTTCAATATATAGATGAAATGACCATTGCTTTTAAATCTTAATATTTTAATTTTGTAACTTCATTATATTTTGATGTATTTCATTATTGTTTTGATCAAATATTTATTATGTAGCTTTGGGAACGTTACGCAGATGTTCCTTTAAGAGGGGAATATGAGACAGAAATCTCCAATCAGTTTGAAACACCATTTAGTTCTACACCTGTTAGAAATAACGTTCCCGCTGGTAGGAGACGAACTCATTGGTCACGTAATGCTCAAGATACACGTCGTTCTAATAGGTATATCGCTTCTAATTTTTTGAAAGCTCACAGTGTTTACACGTTAAAATTTCTAATTAAATAATTAGTGCCATGTATGTATTTTTATGGTAATGATATATTTGATTATTTTAATATAACGTAAGTGTAAAGTATATTAAAGACAAAAGTTATTTATATAAAAATGAAAATTAATAAACATAATTAATTTATTACCAACTTCTGCGGTACGTATGGATATGATTGGTTATTTTTATGTTGAACAGCAGTCGTGGACGACAAGAAGTAATGCCTGTGTCTGTAGAGAATTTCATACAAGATTTTATACTTAATCTCTCAGAAGGAGTAGCACAAGCTGCACAACTACCTGTGTATGTATAATATTAATCTTTATTATACATTTATTCTTATTTATCTAATGTATACAAGCATGTATGCATATAATTGCTCAAGTTCAGAAGATTTTCAAGGCAAATCAAATCTTTTAACTTGTATAATATAAAAAAGGGAACCACACGCTTTATGTAAAATTATCTTGAGAGAGAGAGAGAGAGAGAGAGAGATTTGCATGTTATTTATATAGAATATTATCCTGAGTGAATTCAAAAGCAATTTTCCAATTTTAGTTCATCTGCATGTAAAATATTTTTATTTGGCATATAAAACAGGATATCATGGTATTTATTAAGAAAAAGATAAGTATAAGCGTTTTAATAAGAATTTCAATGAAATTAGAATCAAATTTTAGTTAATAGTTTATTTTTAAGTATTATATAGAATATATAATTGTGTATGTAACTTTCACTTTTCTTTATATTTATATATAATATTTTTTAAATAGCATATAAATAGATTAAGCTGATTTATGTGTATATATGCGTACGCTGCGCGTATATGAGCATATGTTCGTTCATTTTACATGTTTATAATGGATTAAAATTTGAACAATTTCACACAAATAATCACATGCTATGTAGTACTCATTGTTAGAAAGGATGGAAATAACTGAATAAAAATAGAAGTAACTTGAGAATATGTTACGTGGAAAAGATATTAATAAGCGGTATTAATGGAAATATATAAAAAATGACAATGAAATTTCGAAAAAATTATTATAACGGCTTATATCCTTTATTATAACGACTTTTATTTTCTGTCGAACATTGATTGAATAAATCTATCTATTGAATAAATCTAAATATGATATATATATAAAATATATACTATATCTTGTGTGTGCGTGCGTGCGTGCGTGCGTGCGTGCGTGCGTGCGTGCGTGCGTGTGTGTGTGTGTATGTACTGCTGAATCGTTAGAATTGATTTTAAAAGAAAACATAACTTATATTTGCTAATCTCTAATTATAATAATATTTTTTCACGTATTCCAGATGGCTGGAGTACAAGAAGACTTTAATTGAAGATATAGGTAGACAAGGTCGACGTATTCATAGCAATGTAACAATACATGATGTTCCTTATGCGATTAGGATTGCCAACGACATAGGCATGGAAATGTAGTCCTACGATTTTTTAATAAAAAGACTGCAGATGTTTATGTGTTTAAATATGTAAGAAAGACATATGACATCTGTAATATAAAATATACACACATAATATATATATGTCGGGTTCACATTAAGAACAGGTTTAGGGGCGTTTAACGAACTTTCACTAGGATTAGCCATTGTTATTATACAATAGAGGTAATGTTTATTAACACATCGTGATTATTACAAAGTTATCGAGTAACCGCGGTGATTAGACACTAATGACGGTGCCTTCAGGTTCGATAACGAATCCGCGATCAACGGGATAGCGAATTCACGTTTTCGTCAAAGTCTAAGTTCAAACCTATGTTAAAACGTAGAGTATTCACTAATCGTGAAGACGCTATGTAATTCGCTAATGAGACGTCACGAGAGAATGACTTTCCGTCACGGCGACGCTGTAGAGAAAAACTATGATGGGGTGTGTCTAAGGGTATGATATCATCGAATTGGTGAAGAAAAGCCTTCGTTCGGAAAATGTGGGAAATTGACGTTGCTGTTAATTGGTCAATTTTCATGTTGGTGGTTAGAGAAGGATGCTAGCCGCCCTTGAGAGAAAGTTGCTAGCTGGAAACATCGTTCGTGAGAAAAATAGATTTTCCCTATCTTCCCGTAGTTGGGATAAGGACTGTTTGTCTGTTTGAAGGACTTTAATTAACTAAATCTTAAGATTTATAACGGGTCCACAGGCTAGCTGAGTATGTACTGTGGAGATGCATCGACATCTGGTAATCATCTTACCCGGAGAATAGGGTCTGCGTGTGGCGAGCCACGGGACAGAAACCGTTGGAATGTTTACTGTCGTGTGCCGCTACAACTATTTCTTTCAAGGAGAGCTATACTATTACACCATACCTTTGTTAAACAAAACGTTCATCCCTTGACCGCGGCTACGTTCGGCGACTGTTTGTCACCTTGAGCCCAAGCTCACTATCACAAGTCTCGAATAATTATAATCGAGTTAAATTATACAGGCTAAACTATTGGAGATTTTCCGAAGTTATATATATACACACGCGAAAAATGGACAAAATATGTCAGCGATATGTTTTATATAATTTTAATATATTGCATATTATTTATGACATAATATTTAGTAATTCAACAACTTAGTAATTCAACAATTTAGTATTCAACAATACTCTTACAATTATTCTAGTATGTATAGTTTGTATTATAATAAATTACAAGTACTCTGTCCAAATTTGCAGTCTTTAACCAATGACGTTTGTATACAAAATATAATATTCATTTTTTATAAAATTTAAGAAACCTTCTCTTACATTTAGCTCTATTTAACATATGATAACAAGTATGATTCACATTGCAGGCTAGTTTTTTTCTTTTTTTTTATTTAATTGTTTAAATTCACAATTTGTCCAGTTTGGACATTTGGTAGAATTTTTTAGCTGTTAGATTATCATGTGGATGGCTATCCCCAGTGGGATACCATCTTCGTGTTTGTTAGGTTGTGTCCTTTGTGAGATCTGCTGGATGTTTCCTTTTCAGTCTTCTATCCATGTTTGAGATGTTGATCGTTTCCACAGCTAGCCGATTTGGATGTGTTCCTATCCTTTTTATATTTTCCTGCATGTCTGCTAATTTCCTCTTTGACCGTTGGACCGTCTTATTCCCAGGTCCTTCCGTATATCCTCGTTTCTAACGTACCATGGGGCGTTTACTATTGTTCTAAGAATTTTAGCTTGTACTGTCTCTATTTTGTTTATATGGCTCATTGCTGCTGTCCCCCATAATGATATTCCGTACATCCAGATTGGTTTTATGATCGTTTTGTATATTTTTGATTTATTTTCTACGCTTAATTTGGATTTTCGACTTGTTAGCCAATGCATTTGTCTCCTTGTTGTTTGTCCCTGTTGTATTTTGTCTATTATTGATTTAGTATGCTGTTTCCATGTGAGTTGTGTTTCTAGGTGGAGACCTAGGTATTTGACTTGCCTTGTTTGCGGTATGTGCGTGCCGTTCAGTATGATGATTGGTGGTGTCTGTTTTCGCAGTGTGAATGTAATAAGGTTGCATTTATCGGGGTTTGCTTTTATTTGTTTACCTTGCAGCCACTTTTCTATTTTTGTAATGTGTTCTTATAGTAATTTGACTGCTGTTTCTGGGTTAGTGTGCCTGACTAGTACCGCTGTGTCGCCCGCGAATGTCAGTATTTTGCTATTGCTAGTTGTTGATATGTTGGCTAGTATATAGTGTGTATAGCATTGGTCCTAAGACGCTTCCTTGCGGAATCCCTGCCTTGATGTCTTTGACTTCGGAGTATGTGCCCTTGATTTTTATTACGAAGGTTCTGCTGCTTAAGTAAGATTTTATTAATTGGTATATTTGCTCCGGGAATTGTTTCCTGATTATTTGTAGTAGACTTTCGTGGTTTATTTTATCAAATGCTTTTTCAATGTCCATAAAGAGTGCCGTGCAATATTGTTTTGTTTCCAGCGCCTGTAAGATTTCATTGACGAGTCTGTGCATTTGCTCTATTGTGGAGTGTTTATTCCTGAATCCAAATTGATGGTCCGGTATTAGCTTTTCCTTTTCTATTGTTGGTTTTAGGCGGTTATATATTATTTTTTCTAGTAATTTGGAGAACGCAGATAGTAATGATATTGGCCTGTAAGATTCAGTTAGATGTGGGTTTTTGTTTGTTTTGGGTAACATTACGATTTGTGCTATTTTCCATAGTCCAGGAAAGTACTGCATTCTTAGAATTGCTTTAAATATTATCGTTGTTGGTCTTATCGCTTTTGGCGGAAGGTTTTTCAAGATTTTACCATTGATTAGGTCGATTCCTGGTGCTTTATTATTTTTTTGTCTTTTCGATTATGTTTCTAATTTCTTGTGCTGTTGTTTTAGGTATGGTGTAGTGTTTGTCAGTTGAGGTACTAGTGGTTTGCACATCTTCGTCCGTATGGCATTTGGGGTTGTTGTTGTTGATATTATGTGGTGTAAATGTGTTGTAAAGGTGGTTGGAAAATTCTTCAGCTTGCTCTTCGTTGCTTCTTGCCCATGTGTTGTCTGCTTTTCTGATTGCTGGGAGTAGTTTTATTGACTTCTTTATTTTTTTCGTGGCTTTCCATAGGGAGTAATTGGAGTTCTCGTGTGCAGAGAGTGACTCTATGAATTTTGTGTATTCGTTATTGTTGTGCTCTTTTATTTTGTTTTTTATTTCCTTTGCAAGTTTGTTTATATGTTTTTGCCAATTTGCTTTCGCTTTTATCTATGTTTTTACCATTTTGCTTTCTCTTTTCTTTTTTCTCTAATTTTTTCAAATATGTCTGGTGGAATTATTTTTGTTTGTTTGTTGGTTGGTTCAGGTATAGTAGTTGCCGATGTTGCTTCTTGGATAGTTTCTATCAATGTTGTTACTGCCAGTTCGATGTTTTCGGGTGTTTTCAATGGGATGTTGCAGTTGGTTTTGCTCTTGATTATTTCTTTAAAAGTTTGCCATTTGGTCGTTTTGTTACATAGTGTCTCTGAGTTGCTATAAAATATTGGTTTGTTTCTGTATGTAATTATTATGGGTGTATGATCGGAGCTAAGCTCGAGGCTGGGTATTATTTTTAGTTTATTTGCGTTTAGTCCCTTTGTAACTGCAAAGTCGAGTAGGTCAGGAACTTTGCTCAGGTCTGTCGGCCAGGATGTCGGTCTTCCCGTGGATAATATATTGAGGTTGTTGTTTCGAATGTATTTTTCCAGAGTTCTACCTTGAAGAGTGGCAATTCTTGATCCCCATAGCGTGTGCTTTGCATTGTAGTCTCCCGCTGCGATATACTTGTCACCTAAGTGTTGAAAGTACTCTTCCCACATTTGTGTTGTCATTTTATGTCGCGGTTGTTCATATACTGCTGACAACTGAAAGTGGTTGCTGCTAGTTTGTACTGTAACGGTGGTTGCTTGGGTATATTCCTTTCTTACTTGGCTGTGTGATTTTTGATATCGTTTCTTATTATCACTGCGGTCCCTCCGTGTGCTTTTCCTGCGGGGTGTTTGGTATCATATATAGTGTAGTATGGTATTTTCATGTAGCTTTTTGGAGTGAAGTGTGTTTCTGAAACAAGTAATATGTCTATATTGTTGTTATACAGGAATGTTTTAGTTTCTAGGGCCTGTTGTTGTAGACCGTTTGAGTTCCAGGCTGGTATTTTCAGCGTGTCCGTTTTTATTTTTTCCTTAGCATTTTTGTAAGAAGTTGTAACATGACTGTGATTTGTTGCATTTGCTGTCTGAGAACTGCGTTTTGTTCGCTTATCATTTTTGTTAACATTTCGGTGTTTTTGATGGATTGTTTGAGCAGTTCCTTGATTTTTGTAGTGTCGTTGCTATTATTGTTCTGATTTTGGTTGTCTAAGGGTGGCGATTGGTGGATTACTTGCGCGTAGCTTCGGCTACCAACGGTGTTGGTGTTACTGTGGTTATTGTTCATTACGTGCTGTAGATTTGGTGTTGTCACAGTTTCTGTGCTATCCTGTTGCGCGTGAAAGTTGTTGTGTGTCCTGTTTCAAAGTGGCGGAAACAGTTTACGTTGCAGTTGCTTTCTGACTACACGGCCTTTGTAGCTAGCTGGGTGGTTTCCATTGCAGTTGTAGCATTTTATTTCATTTATCTTTCTTATGTATGGTTGCAGTAATTTTTTGTATATCCATATTGCTGACACCGTGTGCATTGCGGTATGTCTTTTTTATGTCTAGGTGGCTCCACTGTTACTATTGTGTTTAGAGCCTTTTTAATTTCAAAAATTTCTTTGTTATTGTTCTTAGGTTCAAGTTCTATTAGAAATAACGGTAATGTTTGTTTAGTATCGTACCTGGTTTTGTTGTTTATTGCTCTTACCTGATGCCCGATTTTAGCTAGTTCCTCTCATATGTTATTTGCATTTGTTTTTGGGTGTAATCCTCTGATTACTGCTTTATAACTTTTATCAGCTTTGAGCTGGTAAGTGTGATCCCGGCGTTTTTTTCTTTTAGTGCTTTTGTCACTTTTCTGAAAATTTTTGGGGTGTTCGTTTGTACTTTTACCTGGTCTTGTCTTAATTGTTTTATACTG